TTTCCTCGACTATTCAGTCAACTGTTGCCGTAATCAAAATGATAAATTACCTTTTTATAAAGACATTTATTGACTCAAGGGTTTGTTGATCATTATTGTTGCTACAAATCAGAAATGGATAAATCATTTATTTGATGATACATTAGGTGAAAGGGTAAAGTGTTGTTGCTGTTGAAATGAAAAGGGTAAAGGGAAGCAAATGGGCCAAGATTAGATCTCTCCTTTTCACTGCCAATTATCAACCCTTTCAACTGCCCTACACTTGTTTGATTACCATTCCGTTCATCTTGCACGTTTACTGTTGGTCTAGAACCAAGAACCGGAAAAACTTTGAAAACTCAAATAATGAGAATATTGTAATTCAATTCAACTTAAAATTGGCCTTCTTTTCATTCAACGTCAATCTTGATCCTTGCACACGCTTGTTGTGCGGTGTAATTGGTAGGATCGTGTTGTACTTGTAAACCGATAACATCATCACTCATTAACACGATTCTCGAATAATGCTATTTTCATTTCCATTTAAATGCTTAAACGATTAAAAGCAAAGTTTGGAAACAAAAACTTGGAAAGGAATCGAATGAAAAGCTGATAAATTCAAAATAGAAACACTTTATCATGTGAAAAAAATTGTTTAGAAAATCATGAAAATTCTTTTGTACCAAAAAAAAAGAGTTGAAATTCAACTGCGGTTGATTTCCATCTACAGACAACGAGCAATTCCAGAATGATATCAAGGACAGCATTCGATGAAAGTACAACAGAGAATGATATCGAATAGGAGTTTGAGTAAAGACTTTGAGTTTGGAATAAGATCAAAAAATGAATTTACAAAAGGCAAAAGTTGAACCTTTGAACATGGAAGAATAAATAAGAAAATTTTTGAAATTCGGTCGAACATAAATTTTCAATGAAAATTCGATTTGACAATCAGAACACAGAAATTTCTGAGCCTGAAAAAACCTGAGAAAATATCGAAAAGTGAAAAGATATTAGTTTTGTTCCAACTCAAATGACTCTTGATTTGTTCAATATCTCATTTTGTTCTGTTCTTTTCGGATCAAAGAATAATTCAGTGAAAAAATCTGTTAAATTTACAGCGAATCGAAGTCGAAAAAAATTCTCTTTTCATTTGTTTTCGAACGAAGAATTTTAAAGAAGAAAAATGTTGAATCAAGAATCACCTTTACTGCAACAGTTTAACTGGTCTTAAGATGAATAATCAGTGTGACAGAAAGCAATTTGTCTTAAGTTTCTCTAAATGATTAAACGCTTTGATCAATATGAAGTTATTAGAAATGTGTATTAATTTGTAAAGCGTAATAAATGTTGATATTTTCCGGGTTTTCTGTTTATATTTGTATTTTACTTGGAGATTGATGAAGGCGAAGGAATGAAAAAAAATAATTTATTACAAGAAAAGAAAAAGTTGGATAAAACAAACAATCTCAACAAATATTGAATGGGAGTTGAAAATGTTAAGTGAATAAAGATGATCAAGTAAACAGTTGACACAGATAGGCGTTAGACTTACATGGCAAACCATTATTATCCTTGCAAGTAGTTGCTACTCGGATATATTGCTCTTGATAGGTTAGTTCAAAAGGTGTCAACAAGCATGATAATGAAGCTTCTTAATGATTTTTATTGGCCTTCACTTTGAATAAACAGTTTTCCGATCAAAATCATTTATCATCTTGCAATGATTATAACACTCTTAATGATAACTTTCACTCCAAGTTGAAGGGAGTAAAAAATGTTAGTAAGACAAGATAATAGATTTAAACTGATAATCACTTGTGAATGGAAAGAGAAAAGTCGATGAAATTGTTGAAGGAAAGATGGGCCAATGTTAATGATGATGAAGATGGTGAAGATGGCGAAATTTTGTTGCAGTTTGTTTAGGGAGTGAAAATGATGAGAGAATCAATTCGCAAGTAAAATGATTATCAACAATTCAGATTTACTGTTCAGTTTTATAGACTGTCTTTTTGGTTGAACCTTTCAAAAAGACTTACAATTTTTACTCGTTGACATTGATAGATTTGATTTTATTAGTTAACCTAAATGGCTTTTATCAATTTTATTTATAAGCTCTTGTTATTCCAGTTGGACTGTAATGAATAACATGATGAAAAATAATGATAATAATAATCTTTTTCTGTCTGTCACTGGAAATGCAATTTTAATCAAGAAAATTTTTCCTCTTCAAATTGACTTGTAACCAAACAGAAACTTTTTTTTTCTTCTACTTTTCATTCTTTTCATGGTCATCATCATGTCGTTTTGCTCACAATGCTTTGGATCTATAAAATTTCTACCATGATTGAGTCTGAGCAAGTTTCATGATGATTAGAAGTTTTCTTCTCTTTCTTTTTCAACCAATGTTTGGATGATGTTGCGGTTTCTACGGTTGCGATAAGTGGGTTGATTGATGAGTTCTTGACCAGTCAAATGATGAACCAGATAATGGTGAGATTGATGATCAACATGAACAATGTTGTCACCATTTTCAGGCCAATAATTATGATAAATTGTTCTGTAAGTTATAATGTTGCACAAAAGTTTTGCACCTTTCACTGTTTCTAATTACTCTTTGTTTGCTTTAATGGACTTTGATTAACATTTTCATCAACTACTTTGGTCCGTGCAAAAAAGTCTTCTCAAAGTTGAAAAGCTTTTTAAAGTTTTCCACTTCAAAGCGAATTTAACTTTTCAAAAAAAATAAAATCAAATATTTTTCTGTTAGATGACCGCTAGTTCAACAGACTTTTCATGTCTTGCCTTTGGAGAGTGATGAGCTCAGAATATGATTGATCTGAAAAGTTGTTGCTAAGTCTGTTCGAGCTGTATTTGAATATTCTTGCATGAATGGTTTAACAAATTACTTGACTTTCCCGATCTGCTGAAACTGAAGATTATCGCAATCGCAAGATGAATTGTTTGAACTCGAATGAGCCAAGTTTACTTGACTATCTGAGTTGGATGAGCTTCCATGAGACGAAGTTGAGAATTGAGAAAACCAAAGAACTTAAAGTTCTGAATCTCATTGAAACAAAATCAGTAAACTTATTGTACAAATGTCCAACTGCTATTCATTTTCATGAACATTAAAATACAAAAATGTATCGATACAGAAACATTGGTCAGTTTAATACAAATAAAGTTACAATTGGAAATAAATCGACAAGTCGATGGATGCCGATCAATATGTTTATTTTATTAATAATACCAATGGTAACTGATAATTATCTCACTTTGTTATTAGTCAATATTCATTACAATAATGGCCAATCAAATGAAACTGTGTAAAGATCACAGAAAATGAAACAAAAAATTCATTCACTATTGACTCACAGTCAATCAACTCAAGTTTTTTGGACATTTTTTAACATCGAATCACTTCAATCAATACTTTGATATCAAAAGTTTGAGCTGACCAAATGAAACTATTTACTCCGACAAACAACAACCACAAACTAACCTTCAACTCTTTCTTTATACTAACATTGAATAATTGAATTTCAAACCTCAAAACTTGCATGTCAACCTAAACTTTGAAACTTTAATTCACTCAAATTATTGACTAACATTTACAAATGAAGTCGAGTTGAAACAACAAATTGAACATAAATTAACTCTACAAAACTGTTCGACTTGAAAATGAAAGGCAATGTCGATGCATTCCGTCATTGTTTATTGACCATTATTTGCATAACATTGATAACATTGAGAGCAAACAAAAAGATATATAATAAATAAATATTTAATTTTTCATGGTTTATAAAACTTTCGTTTTTACTCTTTCAACATTATTCAAGTTTTCATTTGTTAAATCAGATACAGATGCAAGATGAATACAAAAGTTTACAAAATATTTTAGTAAAGGGCAAAAAAGATGCAAATTTAAACAACAAAAATGAGCAAAAATGATAATTGAATTTTAGTCTCTTATTGATGTGAAAATAGGAAAACATAAAATGCAGAAAAGGTTATTAGCTTGATAACACTTTGATAATAGTTGAAGAAAAGGAAGCCAAAAAAACTCAATTTTTATTATTCTCATAACATTATTATTAGGTCGATAAATTTTGCGACTTTAAAATTTAAATTTTGTTCGCTTCTCTCATTTGACCAAAAGTTGTAACAAGAAGATGCAATAAACTCAATGTTATCAAAAGCTTTCCAACTCCCAGTCAATGTTTATTGCTCCATTCCCAGGCATTCTGTTGTATTATGAGCAACATTAGGAGCAGAATTCAATTCTTAAATGAGATTAATGAGCAATGATAAGCAAAATTTTAAAAAATAGCAAAATTTGAATTCCATCCAAAGGTTTACTTTCTTCATCAAGATAACTAAATGTTTATCTGTCAACTTTATGTTCAATATTTTTTTATGTTATTTAAAACCACAAAACTTTCTCACTCCTTCACTGCATCCAAGTGTGATCATGAAAATCTGATAAACAATGAATAGTTGCCTTTTTTATGGTCAATTGTTGGCCAATGCGATACGACTATTAAATGTTGAAATGTGAAAATTGTGAGAATAGAAAAAAAAAATTTCTTCCTTTCGATTTTTTTTTCAGTTCTTTTGCAGCCCATTTGGGCAATTCATTAATTTTGCAACAAAATTCAAGTCGAGTTCAATGGAAAAGTTTTATTGTCGTTATTTATCGTATCTTGGATTGTTCATGGTAAAGCTTGATAATTGTAAAATATGATTCACATTTGAAAAGATTAACTTTGAATCTTTCAACATTCAATGTTGCTTATTAAGTTATCATCTTGATGCAAGGTTGATTCACCTTAAATGCTGAAATGAATGCTCAGTTTTATTGCTCTGAGAGTCTTTATTTTTTCAGCTTTTCTGTTAATTTGCTTAATCTGTTTTTTTCATGAATATTTGCAACTTTTTTTCTCTCTTTAAGTTGAGCTTTTTCAGGGTTTTTCCTCTCCATTGAACTTATTTTTTTACTCTCGTTTACCTTTCATTTGGCTGTTGATTAATTTTCAACTTTGATGATTGAGAGAGGAAAAGGGTTGAGATTTTTTTTCAGAATCAAATGAGCCTTGAAATGGCATTTAATTGTTAACAATTTTAATGTTTATTTTTTTCATTTAAATTTGTTTTTTTAGATTGAAATGTGTTGATCAACTTGATGTTGTTTAAAATGTTGTTGGTTTACTGTGCAAGTCCGTTGGCACTTCGGGTTCGTGTTGAAGATGATGATGAAGATGGGTTGATTCGAGCTGATTGAAAGTTGTCGTTGAGCTCGTAATAGGTTGGAGCGGCGTTACAGTCAACTTGGTACCACCATTGGCATGAAAATTTTTGCTGATTGAAAATGGTTCCGTTTGGACATAAAAAGCTATCTTGATTTTCACCAGATTGGCATAAATGGACAACCTGACATTGAGCCTCGGTATCGGCGTAATAACCATTATTGGGTACATTGGCACATGAGAATGATGTTTTAGGTATGGTTACATGGGTTGGGTAGTCTTTGCCTGCTTCACCTGGAACACCATCGCCGTCTGTATCAGCGGGAAGATTGGAATTACTCTTTACTCGATCATTTGATGGCAAGTCTTGTGTTGAGGGTTGACTTTGTGTTGTTGGTGGTGCAACTGTGCTGCTTGGTGAGGGTTGTGATGGTACAATACGAGCGATGCGGTAGCTTGTGGGTTGGGATTGGTTTGGTGCTACTGGGAATGATGAAGAGGATGAAGAGGATGAAGATGGTGCCAAGGGTGAACCGGCTGTTGATCGTAATATTGTGTTGGTTCGTACACCATTTGGTCCTCTTCTTACTGCCACCACTCGTCGTACATTGGATCGGAAATTGTTGGCCTGAAGATATGAGCGTACAGAGTTTGATCGAACGGAAGGTTGTCGGGCGTTTGAGTGAACCACTGGACGACTTGAGTCTTCTGGGTTGTCGCCATTGATGTTGTTGTTGTTGTTGTAATCGGATGAACTGAAAGATGGCGCTACTTCTGGTGTGAAAGTTGTAGGTAAAGGCGTTGTTGTTGTGGTTATAACTGTTGTTGGATTTGATTGTGGTGTAACCAATTCGTCTACATGTTTGTAAAAATTGATTGGATAAATAACTGGACTAGCTGTTGATGGCGATGATGGTGGTGGAAAGGCTGCCGATGATGACCTTGGTGATGATTGTCTACCATTGGCGTATCGAGTACGAGCTATTTGATTTGCTCCTCCACGTACATTACCATATCCTGAGCTTTGAATGTTCAACACTCTGTTTGCTGGTTCACTTGGATAGTTGGATGACCTTAGGTCATATGAAGCTGCAGCCCTATTTAAACTGGTTCCGTAAGGTGGTTCAGTTACTACCGGTAATGAGGATGGTAAAGAGGATGAAGTTGCTACTCGTATGTACTCATTTGGATATGGTGTTGTTGTTGGTACTTCTGCTCTTGTTACTGTTGCTGCCGGTAAACTGGTTATTGGATAGTTTCCCACGTTGTAGTTGGATGAGAGTGATGGAGAGGAAGATGCTGATGAAGATGATGAAACTGAAACTGAGTACGATGTTGATGTTCTATTAACTGGCTTTATTCGCTGTAAATCGGGGAAATAGTTGGTTGATCGTAAATTTGCTAGACCTTCATCATCGTTTTCAGGCTCGGACAGGTCAAAGTTGGCTTCAAAGGCTGATTCCGTGTTGGGTGAAGGAGTTGTTGTTGGTCGTGGTGGCTGGTAGGGTGTCTGAGTTGGTTGGGCGTATGTTCGTCGAGGCAGTTGAGGACCAAGATATTGACCTGAAACGGCAATGGTTCTTGAAGGTTGATTTGAGGTTCGGACAACGTCTGGCTGGTAGTTGGGTAATGCTTGTGTTGGTCGTGGAGCTGCGGTTGGGGCTGGTAAGGGTGCTGATGTTGATGGGAAAGAGGAAGTGCCATGTGAAGTGTTTGAATCAAATTGATTACTGGTTCTGGGTTGGTGTCGTGTGAACTCGTCTGAATAGACTAATGAATCACGAAGAGAACCAAAATTAAATGCATTTGATGTGTTTAATGATGGTGATGGTGTTGATGTTGTTGGTGCAGTTGTTATCCGGATTAATGGTGTTGGTGAAGGTGTTGAAAAGGAAAATGTTCACCGGACGTTCTTATTGGTGTATCGGACTCTACCTTTCGAGATTATAGAGTGGTGTGTGTTGATGGACCCGGATATTGTTTGCTTCCATAAAAGATCGGAGTAAAGGAAGATCAACGTTGAAATTTACATTACTATTTCCATTAGCATTAGCATTATTATCATTATCATTATTATTACCTCGAGAAAGAGTAGGTGCTGATAAAGGTTGAGAATAAGTTGGTTGCGGTGCTGGACGATAAGTTGGTGGTGATGTACGATTTGCTTCGAGACCATAAAGAGCAATCAATAAATAGTCGTCATTTACTGGAAAAGGAGCAATAGGTTGTGATTGAGTTGGTCTAGGTGCCGGTCTAGGGGCTGGAACAGGACGATTTTGTGGTAAAGGTTGAGACTGAGGTTGAGGTTGAGTTTGTGGTTGAACCTGAGGTGAGCTCGGGGCTGTCGT